TGCTTTAAGTTTTTATTTTTATTGGAAAATGAAACACTCATTATATTATTTTGTATTTAATCAAGAATTGAAAATATGAAAATAATTCAAACTTTTTGTTATCTAATTACCTAACATTTTGTTAGATAATATTAAAAGGGTAAGTATTATTGCAAATTTTATCCAAAACTATTTTAAAATCCATTTAACAAAGAAGCATTGGGTGGTATATATATGGTTTTATAACAATAATTTTAAAAAGTGTCTTTGTTAGATAAATTGCCATATTATTTATTTTCCATAATAGGCTGACTGATATAATAGCTTAAGAACATAACATTATATTTTAATTATAGTTCATTGGTTCATATAGCTTGACAACTCTTTGTTAACCTGATCACATTGGCACATTGTTAACTGTTGCCTTCTCTAATGATTATATTAAGGGTGTTTGAAAATATTTTTATTGGATTCTAATGTGTTTGTTTTGTAGTTTTCTAAACCAATGAAGTTGTACAACTATCAAATTATATTTTCCTACATGTGATGCTTTATTTCAATTAATATTAGTTGCATCTGATATATGGTTTCAAAAGTCTCAACCTAATTAATTAAAACAGTGCATTTCTTGATATTGTTAATTTTTTAACTTTTGGTAGGGGGTTCGTTATCAAAAGTCTTCTTTCCGTGGATGTGAGTGGTTGGCAATAGTTTTATTATAAATATTGGATTAATTGGAAATATTCTATTAAACATTCTACTTTAGCCTAATTAGAGAAGAGAATTCTATCCAGTGCTTTCATGTATATATAATTGCTTGGTTTTATGGAGAATTTTACACCGTTTTAGACCTTCTAGAGTGTTTGATTTGGTTAGCCAGTTGTATACTATTGAATATGGGGGTACTTGTGTTGCATAAAGTGGAATTTCTTTTGTATATGTAATTAATGTTTGGTGCCATTTCTTTGCTTTGCATAAGTAATTGCTTTGATTAACCTAGGATTAATAAATTACCATTCACATTGTGATATTTGTTTATTTTTAGGGATGTGTATGTATTTCCTTTTAATTTTGTTAATAAGTAAACGTAAAAAGAATTATTTTCTCATCATAAGATCATTAATTTATTATAAAAATAGCTCGTTTATATTTTATCTGTGTGTGTGTTGATGTATACAAGACCAATTTTTAACGATTTTATCTTCTAGTGAATTGTAAATATAATCAGGTTTCTCATGTTAGCAATAGTGTTTTCCTAAATTTCTAATTTAGTCTTGAATTAGACCTCTAAATGGCACTTGAGTTGCTTTCCAGTTAGTCACTGTGTTGTTGTTTTTTTTTATTATTTTTTGTTAACTTATTTCCTTATGTTAAGATTGAAACTGTTCTATTAGGATCTTTTAAAACTCACTAACATAAAACATAGTTAAAAACTGCAAACAAATAACGTTTCCCAGCAGTTACTTTTTTTTTTTTCTCCTTTTACTTATGCATTGTTTTTAAATGGTATTGTAATATAGCAGCTAAGAGTCCTACCAGCCAGCTGACATTTAATTAGTTTATGCATAGAAACATGATTTCATGTAGAACAATAATTATAAATATTTAAAGATCTGCTGTAGCCATTTTTGTTCTTAATTAACGAAATGGAAAGCATTCTGTGCTCATTGGTTCCATGTGTCACTTTAGTAGGAAACATTGTCATTACAGAGAAAGATATTTTCCCATCATTGCATTTTAGTTGTCATCTGTGTGTAATGTGTGGGCATTGTGGCTGTTAGTGTGACCATCTTGTTGAGACATTTAGAAATTGTACCACAGGTTTTATTTCGTATTTAAAGATAACATCAGGGAGTTGAAGTTACTTACATGATGTGATGAAAACATTTTCCCTTGTACTTGAATGTTAAATATTGTACATAGTTATATATATATATATATATATTACCATCTCCATAAAACTTTGTTAATTGTATATCCTGAAAACACTGCCTTTTTTTTTTTATTAAACTTTAGCATCAACATTTACAAGTATTATACATCACTTTTGTCTGTCATCATATTTAGAACAACCAGCTGTTACGAAACATGATTGCACAGTCTTGTTATTACACCATCCTTGTTTTGATGAGATCAGTTCATTTCGTTTTTTGTTTTCTTTTGCCTGTCATTAAAGTATTGGCATTTCAACTGGGGCATAGATCATTTCAACTTAAAGTAGTCTCTTACTTTTTTTTTTTTGATATACTTCCTCCCTTCTAGTTCAGGTTGATTTATTATTTTGTATTCATTTGTATTTATTTATGCTTCTAGACGCAAGTGTTGAGCAAAGACATTAACACTCTTGTCGCTGATGTCTATTCCTCTACGACCCAGTTTTAGTAGGGAATGAAGGTTTTCAGTTGTGATATATACATTAACATGAATGACTGGGCAAACTAGTGACATCTGTCTGCCTTAATATCATAATTGTAAATTTCCTCTAGGCTATTTCCATGGTGTATAGCAATGTAGAAATCTTCCCCATTCACCCTTTAATGGATGAAAAAGACCCCTGAAACCAACATTTTAGATTTGTATCACAATGTGAACATTTCATCAGTCTTCTTTGTCATTATCAACACTTGACTGTTTTACTTTGTTCTATTTAGATGACATGCATTTATTAATTTTGTGTTTTTTTCATTATCAATTATCCATATTTTTAAAAAACTTAATTCACGCTTCAAAAAAACAAACAGAAATTCAAATTACCCTGGTTAGCTTGTGGTGTACTTTGCTGTTGCTACCAAATGTATTCCACTTTCTTAGTTATGTTATAAAATAGACGTTTAGTGAACAATTTAGTCACATTCAAATTGCAAGGTTTTTCATTTAATATTTTTTAATGCATTGTTGTTATAATTTTGCTAAAGTGATGATTCATAGAAAGATCTGAGTTCTTTTTTGTTCACAATTTCTTCCTTATTTCTCTTGTTCTCTCATTTTAAAACTAGATGTAGTACTGTTGTGACATAAGACAGTGTATTTTTCCCCTTGTGTGTTTGATAATTATTTTATGTTCAATAGTTAGAATTTCTGCTAGTAATTTAGTTTAGAGGATAGCAAGGCAACTTATCAATAGTTAAAATTATCTATTATCAGTTTCCTAACTACAAATTTTTTAATATTTATTTTATTAACTGATTGAAAGCATCAAGATATTTATGCCAAATAAAAAATATTTTAAACTGTTTATTTTTATAAATATGTTTGCTTTTATAGTGCTATGTCACTTTTTTTTTTTTTTTATTTTCTATTTTAATGAACTTTAAACCCAATATTACTTTTAACTAAAATGTTATAACACACTTCTTATATGAACAGTAATCGATTGGCAAATTGTTTTATTGGTGTACATCCATATTGAAATAAATTGCTACAGTTATTGTTATTGTATTATTATGGTATTTTTGGGGATCTTTTTTTCTCTTAATAACCATGGAGTAACTTTCTTCTTACATGGTTTCTGACAATATGGTAGTGCGCAAACCACATTTATCCATTTTGTTTCCCTTTAAATATCTCTTTGGTGTCTTTGATGTCTTTTAAATTGATCAAAAATTGGATTTATTATTTTTTTTATCATGAATCACTCCATTCTTGTTGAAGTCATCTTTTGACCTCTGAGAGGACTTTTAAAACATACTTGTGCCTCTTTTGTTTTTCTTCAACTGACCTTAAAGAAGCTTAGGGGGGCCAAAGAAAGGAGACAGACATGCCGTGGCCATTTATGTGCAACTGAGTTTTGTACTCTGTGACCTCTTTATATTGTCCTTTTTTTTTGTTGTTTCAAGGCAAACGTTATCAACAGGTAACTTTTTTTAAATAGTTGTTTGTTTTTTTTTGTTTTTTTCTTTTCCTCTCAACTACCTTTTTATTTTTTTATTATCATAACTCTGTCAGTGATTGTTGTTAAGTAGACTTTTTTTTTTCTGGACTTACCTTAATGGAGCTATATTGCTTTTGAGGCAATTTCTTTACTGTTTTTTTGAATTATGTGCATATGCGGATTCTAGTTTAGCAAGAGAGAGATGGACATTTAAAGCCAAATAGTTTTTGTTTTTTTTCAAATCAAGGTTATTGTAAATTTGCTTAAGGTACGACAGACAGTCACAGGTTTAAGTTTATCTGTCGCCTGTTCCCCCAACACACTTGATTTTTTTTTTTAGCATGAGGTTGTGTGATACACTGGAAGCAAGCACAAATGTATCTTGTCTCATTACAAAGGGCACAATTTTATTTCTGTAGTCTGTTGTCTACACTTTGTTTTCGTCTCTTATGTAATGTAGAGTTGCACTCAACAAGCCATTCTAGTAGATTTTTTTTTGGTCATAACCTTTGACTAGGAAAATGGTCATTAACAAAGAATGTATCTCTTAATTGCATCAGCATTATTTAAACATGATTTATTTTTTTTGTTAAATAAATTCAAATTGTTTTATTTTGTATAGTTTTGAGCCATCAAAAAGACTTTGCACTGCTCTAAATGGAATTCATTTTGAAGAAATTTCTATGAAATGTTCATTGTATTATACTTTTAATATCAGTGTTTTGATTCCACTGTATGTACAGAAAACTTACAATCTCATCGCTCCAGCAGCTATTCATTTTTCCCCCCACCCACTACTTTTTTTTTTTATTATTATTTGTTTGTATGCTGACATCTGGGAACCTAGTTTTGACCAATGATTCTGTTCCTGGTTAACCATTTGTTTCCTTATTGGATCATCTATTGATATGACTTATTGTGTTGAAGTTGTTTGCTTATTACATGTTTCACTGAAAGAGCTTAGCCTTGGGGTATGTTAGCCATGGGTGAGTATTAAACGTATAACATTAAGATAATCATGTTACTATTTAAATAGTGGGTGTTTTTTTTTCACTTTAAATTATTTTGTTTATTATAAGGACATAGTATGACAACTTATTGTGACTATTGTATGGGCTTTCATTGTCTTAGGAACATTCAACATCACTTCTTTTTTTTTTTTTTTTTTTTATTATATCATGTGTTCTAGAACAAGTACATTTCACAAGGTTTCTTTTTTAAATGTTAAATCAAGTAAACAGTTAATGAACTTTTCTGATGAATTTTTTTTTGGTCTTCATATACATAAATATTAAGATTCACTGTAATAATTGAGATGCAGGTGTGTGTGTGTGTCCGTGCATGATGAAGACTTAGAAGTAGTGTTGGTCCAGGAGGACTTATCCTATTGAACCTGTGAGTGTTTTGTTGCCTTCTTCATTCCTAAACCTTGTGTGTGATTGGTCATGAGAATGATCACAGATCATTGAATAGATTTGTAGTCTGAGAAAGAAGTCATTTGACCAAAGTTTTTTGAAACCATAAAGTAGAGGAGGATTTATAAACAATGTTTACATGTCCAGTAATTAAAGTGCATTTATTATTTTATATTGAACCATCTTATCAGTGTTCATACCACAAAATTCAAAAATTCAAGGTTCATTAAATTGTCAATTATATTATTTTTTTCATTAGGTCAACTTGGTTTCATTAGATGGGCTTGAAAAAAAAAGATTAAAACTATTTGTCTTTTTATGTTTGACCTGAATTACAAATGGATGACTTTGTACATGTCTCACTGAAAAGATTTGCCTCAAATATATCTTTATGAATGCAATTTTAACAGGAGTTTGCCTTCTTTTTTTATATTCTAAGTTTGTCTGGTGTTGGTTTTTAGTTTTATATTAAATACATAACACATTGTCATCAATTTCAAAGATGAGGGATGAGTGCACTCCGTATTTTAATAGAACTGCAATATTTTTCCATGTCAGATTTAGACAAAGCTGTTGCCTGCTGTCTTTTGCAAATGTAGCCATATGGGGACATTCTGATATGCGTTTGGGAGGAATTTTCTGATGTCTTGTCCATGACACCTGTGGTGGTCACATTAACGCTTGTAAAGCATGAAATAAAATTTAAATTTGGCTTGATTACTAGAAAATATTTATCTTGAAAGGACTTTGGGTATTTCCCCAGGTAGGCATTATAATAATAATAGTACCGGTAATCTTTATTATCCATAAGGAAATTTGTCTTACAATGAGTGCATCACAACTATTGAAAACAACATGCATTCACACCAGATTCACTCATAATTTGCATCTGAAATGTCTGTATCAAATTGTTGAATTGTATTTGACTATTGTGTCATGGAAATTTCGCGCATCTTCTTTTATGTCTAGATCTAAAGGCCTAGAATTGGAATATTATAAGTCTAGTAGTGAACATTCGCTTAACCAATATTCATTCTCGGTTTGGGGGGGGGGGGGGGGGGGGGTAAAGTAGCAATTTTTTTTTTTAATCTAACATTCATCAGTTCATAAAATACCGGTAATCGCTTTATAAGTTTATAATTTATAAAAAGTTTTTTTTTTGTTCAGCTTATCCTCGTAGTACCTATTAAGACTGCATGGCCAGGTGGTAGGACTAGATCTATAGTCTCAACGGTACTGGATTTGAATCATGCATACTGCCACCTCCTCCGTCTTGCGGGAGGTTTACGATGGGATGTAATTGTAATAATTATAATTTTTAACTCTTTTTAAAGAACACCTGAAGCAAGTAGGGCCTAGAAGATATGCCCACATTGGGCAACATGTACTTAGCAATTTATATGTAAAACTGACTATAGAATAAAGAAATTTTTGTCAGGCCCTCATGAGGATTACAAAAAAATAATTGTCCCAATGAGCTAAAAAGATTGCAGACTTGTGTCATACTGATGCTTTATTATTTCTATTTAAAAATTATTCATTCATAGACTCTATAGATTTATTAATTTATATTTTTTAAAATACAATTTCATTTAGATCGAGATCTTTGTGTTAGTTGAGTTAGTTGTCATAACAGCAGTCACGTGACAAATGGCTACCAGCGAAATTGAAAACAAGTGTAGAGCCTAGTACCCTAGTTTAGTTCTGTTGTAGGATCAAATAATCAGTCATGTACTTTGTCTTGGCTTTTTTCTTCAAATTTTCGTTAGTTTTTATCGCTGTAATTCCCAGTGTAGAGTCGAAATGGGTTGAAGGAGAGATAGACACAAAACAAGTAAGTTTTTTTTTTTATTAAGACATTTGACTTTAACTTTAGTCAACTTTATAAGTTATAAACCGTAGTGACTTTTAGACAGCAGGAGGTAGGGTGACTGTGACAGTGTCCAGAGCCAGAGTCTCAGAGAGGTAGAAGACTAGATCTATCATCTAGAGTACTTATATGATAATAATAGATCTAGATATCTATATACTACTTATACATTTAATATATATAGATCTACAGTATCTAATGTAAACTAGACTCTAAGTCTAATACTAGACTAATACTACTGTTAAATCTAATCTAGATCTAGATAAACTAGATTCTAGATCTATAGTATATATATACTATAATATAGATGTAGATACTTTTACAAAATGAAATTTTTTTTTATTTGAGTTATTATAATTTAACTAGACTTTACTAGACTAGATCTAGATTCTAGATCTATATAGATCTAGAGTTGGACTAACTTAGCTCTAGTCCTTATATTTATAAATTTATATCTATATTATTTATATATATCTAGTCTAGTCTAGATGAATGATAATTATTCAAAATATCTAGATTTATAAATAATATTCATATTATTGTAACTCTGTTGGCTACAATGATAGGGTAATAATATGTTTGTGTAACTGTAATATGCTGAGGGCCAAAACTAAAATCAGAGCCACCCTCGTAAGAGATATGCTATTCACGGATACCGCAGCGGTAGTGGCACACACACAAGAGGAACTTCAGTCACTAATGTCCCACTTCTCTCTGGCCTGTAAAGAATATGGCTTGACTATTAGCACAAAGAAAACAAATGTTATAGGACCACCTGCTACAGCACCACCCTCCATCCTCATAGACGATAACAAGCTGGACGCCGTAAACGAATTCTGCTATCTGGGATCCACAATTACAGATGACCTGTCTCTAGAAGAGGAGATGAAAAAACGCATAGGGAAGGCTGCCTCGACATTCGCTAGACTCAGACCAAGAGTTTGGGAAAACCATAAGCTAACTACGGTGGCCAAAATGTAAGTCTACAAGGCATGCGTTATGAGTACATTGCTGTATGGCAGTAAATCATGGACCACCTACGCAAAGCAAGAGAGAAAACTGAACTCATTCCATTTGAGATGTCTCCGTAGAATCTTGAATGTCACATGGAAAGAAAAAGTGTACAATATTGAGATCCTTGCGTGATTAGATATTCCCAGCATCTTTACAGCCCTCAGACAGCGCTGTTTGCGCTGGTTTGGACATGTTCGCCGGATGGAGGACAAGCGCATCCCGAAAGTCATCCTCTATGGTCAACTCGCGACTGGCACAAGAAAAACTGGTCGCCCCCACCTCCGTTACATAGATGTAATAAAACGTGACCTCAAATCAGTGAACATCAATACTGACAATTGGGAAGACATAGCTCTAGATCGCAACAGGTGGAGTGAGACAGTGACCAGCACAATGACCACTGCCTTTACTTTTCCCCAACAAATGTCAGGTACCCATTAAAGCTAGGTGGACTGAAATTAAAATCCCAGTTTTCACCAGGATTCAAACCTGGGACTTTCCAATTTGTAAATGATCACTCAAACAAGAAAAGTTTCCATGCTGACACAAAGTTTAGCCATATTTGGAAGATTTAAAAATGAATCTAGGCCAGGATCATTGAAGTCATTCATTCATTGATCTAGATTCAATTGTAGATCTAGATCTATCATCAGATATGGATCACAAGGAGTCTACTAATTTACTACAAAATAAAAAATCTGGATCATGTCTCTAGTGTAGGGCGTAGATCTAGAGTAATCTAAATTGTAGATTGTATATCTTGTTTTTGAAGGAACATCTGTTATTTAAAGGTCTTGTTAAGATCTACTAAAATACAAAAATCACGACCTAGCCTAAAAAAAAAAAAGTAGACTCTGTTCTAGACTCTAATAGATGATCTATAGGGCCTACTTAATAGTTACATTCTTATATATTTCTTTTTGCATGATTATAATTCACCTATTTCCATCTTCTGTTCTTCATTACCTGTCTATCATACATGAAGATAATTAAGTAACATTGCTACTAACAATGCATACCAAAGATGTGGCTTGCTATTCTTATCATTCATTGCATTGACCCTGATGTTGTCTCTATAGTGACTTTAAACAGTTGATCTTTAGGGAGCATGCTTTGTTCTGATGAGTTTGAATTGAATTTTTTTAAAATTGCGCACAATAAGATTTAATATAAAATGCAAAACTGCTTAATAAAGTAATAATAAAAAAATTTAAATTGGTTAAAATAAAATAAAATTGATTTAGACATTTACTATTTTTGCAGTTGTGATTTAGCTTACATCGAGGTGCGAACTGGTAGTTAAAAGTTAGTCAATCCATCACTGAGTACCGGCACCTATTTATTTACATAAAAGCACTGTTATAGATACATGGCAAGGGCTTAAATTTATTTCGTTTTCATATGTTTAATTAAGGTTCTTTGTTTTATGTATTAATAAATCACGAATTCAAAGGTAAAGAAAATACAAGTTCCCCTTTCAGACCTTGTGAACTATAGGGCTGTTGATGTAAAGATGATCTGTTTCAGTGACCTATGGTTAACGAGGGTATCATATATGTGGCCAGCACAATGACCAACCGCCTCTACTTTTCGCTAGCTAATGCCAGGTACCATTAGAGCTGGGTGGACTCAGAGGCGCCCTTAAGATCCAGAAATAGAAAATTCCAGTCTTTACCAGGATTCGAACCCGGGACCCCCCAGTTCGAAAGCCAAGCACTTTACCACTCAGCCACTGTGTATTCAAAGTAATAAAAAGAGTAAGAAATCTGTGTGTCAAATTACAACCACCTTAAGTGTGTAGTGCTTGTTTACTAGGCTGAATACCTGCAGAGAAGAAAAGGTTATTGATATCCTGACCTGACCTTATTTCCCAAGACTTGATAGATAATGTAACTGCCTTGATTTCCCACCACGCCATTCCCCTGGTGAATAGCAGTTCACATAATATAGATTTTTTCTTTTACAGCATATGAATGAAAGAAGCTTAAGTGTAGTTTAAAAAAAAAAAAAGCAATGTTATAAGCAGGTGTTACTTCAAGCTCTCATATGGTGGGAAAGTATAGGTGTTTTGTAAATAAGCATAACTCTAATAGAAATTAAATTTGGTCCTAAAATACATCCCTTTTCCATCTTTTTAAAAATGTTAGTTACTATTATTATTATTATTATTATTACTGCTTTAGTATAGCATGTCTTACATGTTCCTCTAGGATGCTTACTGTTTTCCAGTCCAGACTTCTTTTTTTTTTTTTTTATTATCATATTATTAAGAGGGGAGGTGATCTCTGGGAGAAGGTCATTCAGTGCTGCCTTTAGGTGATCAGCAAACACATTTCAGATTTAGCCAAATTTCAAATAAGAAAATCCCTAGTCTTCATTGGAATTCAAACTTAAGCCACCTCAGTTAGGTAGTCAAGCTGCCTATGCCACCCCACCACACATCCTTCAACTAAACCAAAATAAGTTAATTTCATTGTTTGGAAGAAACAGAAATTAAGTTTTGACTACAATTGTCCACCTCAAC